AGCGACGTCAAAACGAAGATATGGAACCACATAAAATCCTCATCAGAACTGTTAAACTTATGTTACATTCCAGTCAACTGCTTTATAGTGTGTGTTACTCTCTCTGGATGTCTTAGTGACCCAAGAAATGAAACCGGTGCTCTTCCAACAACACTGACAGAACTTTACCAGACAGCCATTGATCATTTTGAGAAACATCATCACAGAAATGCAGACAGAAACTGTACGGCACATGAAGCGTTAAAGAAACTTCAACGATTAGCATTCCTTGGTATGGAACGCGGGCAACTGGTTTTTAATCAAACATTATTTGATGAAGAAATGAGAAAATCAGGTTTATTGAACAGTTTATCCAATCCTATTTTCCCGCTAAAAACACAATTTTGTTTTATCCATTTAACCATACAAGAATTTCTTGCTGCAAGGCACGTGACTGAAACACTCGCTCCACCCGAAATAAAGAAGTTCATTTCCGACAATGTTGAAAGTGGAAAATGGCATTTAGTTCTTCAGTTCATTGCAGGACTTTTGGGCAAGAAAATCAAGAATTTTGATTGGGAATACAAGGATTGTGTTTTCGCGTTTGCAAAAAGCTTGAAAGTTACTGATGGTAAAATTATAGTTAAATACCATGAAGTGTTTATAATGAAGTGCCTAAGGGAAGCGGACGATGAAGAGATTACTAAAGAAGTTTGCGAAACAACTGTTATAAACAATATAGTAGAACTACTCGCTTTTGCAGAATTTTATAATCTTTCTCCAAGTGAGTGGGGGGCAGTGACTTTCGTTTGCAAACACATGAAAAGATTGGCAAATTTGAGATTGTTTGGATTTGCGGCAGATTATCTTCCAGAGGCTCTAGGATTAATTGCTACGAAAAAGATGCCTAAATAAACTAGAAATGGGTTCGGAAGGATATTACCGCGCTGCTACAGACGAAATGGACCAAGTATTTAGCGCATTAATGGAATTAAACTGCACGTTCGACCACGAACACACTAAGCTGACTACGTTAACACTTGAGGATATTTTAATGACCAAAGCAGGTTTACCAATCATGTGCAATTATTTTGAAAACGGGCATTCGAGCCAACTTGAGCAATTCACTCTAAATCTTAACAGAATTGGTTCACATGAAACTTCGAAAGTTTGCGAAGTCCAATGGACATTATCCAAATGTGCAAGATTTGGACAATGTTTGGACAATGAGGGTGTAATGGTGTTGTGTGATACTCTGACGAAAGGGCTTTGTAAACTTAATAAATTGCATGTCCGTAAGTGTTGGTTAACAGATGTATGTGTTCAGACGCTAATTAAGGCACTGCAAGATGAACATTGCCAACTAACTGATCTATTACTGGGGTGCAATGCCATAGGTGATGAAGGTGCATGTATGTTGTTTCAAGATGCCCTGAGAAACGAGCATTGTAAGCTTACTGGGTTGAATCTTTGTGATTGTTTGTTAACGGATAAATGCATACCCAGTTTGTGCAAGGCACTTCAAGATGAACATTGTCAACTGACTATTTTATCACTGGCGAGGAATGCCATAAGTGACAAAAGTGCATGTATGTTGTTTGAAGATGCCCTGACAAAAAAGCATTGTAAGCTTACTGAGTTGAATCTTGTACGATGTCCATTAACAGATGAATGCATACCTAGGCTAGTTTGTGTAAGTCACTGAAAGATGGTCAGTGTGTGTTAACAGTATTATGGCTTGCGGTGTCTAATTTTACTGAAAACGGCAAGAAGTTACTGCGTGATACAATGAATTATGAAAGTTGTAAAGCTAGGGATTTACAAATTGTTGTCTGATGAGTACATTGGAAATTATATCTGATCTTAACGTTTTTGTAAATACATGCACTATACCGCTTTAAATTTGTAAAATGAAACGCTGTTTCATCAATAATTGTAGATTATCTTCGCGTTTAATCTGGGATGTTGTCAAACTATATAGTGCGATTGTAAAGTCATATACAGTTGATGAGAGTTGGCAAGCGACAATTTCCATGCGAGTTTTCTCAACTTTCGTGCCCCGATCCGAACGAGAACAAAAGTTTCATGAGAGTTGCATGAGAGTTGGCTGGATATTACCTCGTGTGTAGCAAAAACTCTCATCAATTAACTCTCATGAAAATTTGAACGAATTCAAAGTTGATAAAAGTGCATGAGAGTGATGATAGTTGGCGATGAAACACGAGCGAGAATTGCAACTCTCATCAACTCTCATTCTTGTTTGACCGAGGCTTACTGTAATAGTACCAAGTGTCTTGAAAACAGCTCCCGTAAGATATCCTTGTTTAAGTTATTTTTCGATTTTGAGTTGACTAGACTTCAAAATTGTCGAAAAATGATTGGGTTCAAAATTCAGTAACTCTAATATGGAAATCCCATGAAAGCTTTGTTTTTATGACATTTTATACCGGACTATTTAAGCTATAGCCATATGGCTATTGAAGTTCAAGTCAGTCCTATACCCTTCCTATTTGCATTTAGGCTCGTCAATCACGCTGTATATATCAAAATGTCAAACTGAATTTGACTTCCATCATTTTTAGATATTTTGATGTTTAGTAAGCGCAAGAATTAAAAATTATAGCACGCGTGTGGTGCTAGGAATCTATAGGATTACGCCTCGTACCACACTATGTACAAAAATTCATTTAATTATTGATGCATATATTATAAACACGGAATGAATGCTAATCCGAAAATTGAGTGCTTTAGAATGATGACATTTAAAATAGTAATTTTTCGATCTAAATCGTCTTTACTAAATCGTCTTCAGACTACAATATTATATACAAATTACGCAAACTGCACTAGTGATTTGAATGACGAAGACAATAAAGCGTTTTATGCGGACCGCGACAATCATTTTGTTATTCTTTTGTTATTCCATTTTGGTATATATATATTCTAGTTTTATCCGGGCCTTAAATTTCAGGTTGGTCGTTCCTTAATTCACTAGCAATGAAGTTAAAACTACGTTTATAGTTGTACCGGATAGCTTTTCGTATCGGCGCGAAAAAGCACCTATCTGATACGGAATGTACAACTTTCAGAAGCTGAGCGAAACAACATCTCTCCGTTGCAATAATTCCTCTGAAAATAGCGTTCCTAAAAGGTACGGATAGGTGTTTTTTCACGTCGCTACGGAAAGCTAACCCGAACAGGTGTAAACGTAGCTTTAAGATACCCAGGTTCCGGTTTACGGATGTACGCGGGTGATATGTCCGTACCCGTAGGAAGGAACGGCTTGCAACTTAAGAAATACAAAGATATTCGGGGCTACGAAAACCGATTAGAGAATAGTAACTTTTGTCGTGGTTCACCATAGATTTGGGAAAAATTTGACGAGGAAATGTGCATTGATTTATTCGGGTAATATTTTGAAGTATTTACTACTTAGATGCTCTACAAATAGTGAACAGAAAACACCCGTACCCGTTTGTCTTTTATGTGTAGACCATGGTTTACCGCCGGGAAACGGGTAGAAATTACGGGTAAACAAAATCAGCAAAATTTAGTTGTAAACAGGAACTCTCTATGTGCGACGTTTTACGATACTGAAAAGTTAAAGAAAGTCAAGGTGCATAGGGCGGTGGCAAATCCGGCATCTCTTTCCACGTTGTCTGCGCAGTTGGTTGTTCACTTCCTTGAGCTTGTTCTTGATCACCATCATCACCAGTCAGAAGAGCCGCAGAGTCATCTTGGGCATGACGTTGACCATCTCGTCCAACGACTGATACAATTACCCCTGGAAATATATCATAACAGCTTTGACTATAAGTAAGTAGTTGGGAGCGTGCTAATTATCCTTACTTGCAGTTGAGAGCTAAGCTGAATTACGAGGGACACAGCTCAACCTGATCGAGTCGAAGGCTTTCTAAGGGCGCTTCTGGCTGCCACCTTATGACTCGTGTCTGATCATGGAGCACATGCAGCTACGGTGGAAGGGTCAGTTAGGGGCTAATCCCAACCCACCCTGTCAACATTCCCTGTGGAAGGAAACTGGAATACCAGGAGAAAACCCACGACTTTCTGTATAGAGCATTCATGACTGACTCTTTTCACATCAGTGTCATGCGTCTGCCCCGCAAATCGAAACCACGATCTGTGGTGATCTCACCAATGCCTAATAAGCAAGGGTGGGTTGACTACAAAATTTTTGTAGTTCGCTATAACTACAGCTACTTCAAAAATATGTCTAGTCAGTTACAACTACTGCTACTTTTGAACAAAGGTAGTTCGCTACTGACTACAGCTACTGCTTTAAAAATGTAGCGAACTATTTCGCTATTTCGCTACTCTATATTTTTTAGTTTTACGGTATTTGGAGCATCCACTAGCTCAGGCTGTAATTTAACCTATAACAAGTCGAGTAGCAACAGTAAACAAAAAGGGTCAAACTGTAAGCACTACAGTGTTCAGGAATGCCACTTTTCATTGCGCTAAAATAATCTTTACTGTATAAAAGAATCTTTTAAGCAAACCGTGTCTTAATTCATTTTATTCTATGAACGGTTGCTAACAATTTTAAAAAGTAGCGAATAGCGATTCGCTGTTTGAAAAGTAGCCAACTATTTGGCTACTTTTAGGCAAAATGTAGTTCGCTATAACTACAACTACTGTTTTCAAAAAGTAGTCAAAAACAGAAAAAACTATACTGGCTACTTGAAAATTGTAGTTCGCTACAGTAGCGAACTACAACTATACTTCGCTACTACCCACCCTTGCTAATAAGTCATTATACAGTGTTAATCAATATGTAATGGTAAATTAGCAAATCATATTGCTCTATTTTGCTCACATGATAATACTGGATAACTGGTGAAGTATATTAATCCAGTTCTAGAACTGGATCAAAATTAATTCAGTCCTTATATCAAAATTAATTCACCCACACATATATTCATATATATTCATATGAGATGTCATTTCAAATCCTCCAATTCGGACTGGACTAGATTAGACTCGGCTTCGCCTCGAGTTTGATCAAATTGCGCGGACATCAAATCTATTCCAGACTTCATAGTTGGATTTGAAATATTGTTTAAAGTAAGGGGACATCAGACCTATACTTAACACAACTGATGTGTGATTCGTTCCAACGGTCCGTTGGCATGAACCAGAGTTTATTTTAAACAGCCATAACATTGATTGTACTAGATCAATTTTAACTATGCTGTTGGAAAGTTGTTAGGTTTTCATTAATTAGTTGATAGACATTATATATTAAGTAATCGAATTTGAACTTTTAATTGTTGAACATTTATATATAGCAGGGCATTGAGAAATATGCAGTAATGAGATCAAGATAAAATACGGATGATTGATAAGATAAGTATGAGAGTGTAAAAAGGAGTGATAGTGTGCGAGAGAAGCGAGAGAGAGAGGAGTGATACGTAACCGCGAATAAAAAACTATATAAAACGAAACTCTGTGAGTGATATTTTAGTGTTGGGAAAAAGCAATTCCCGATACAGTGGCACCTCCGACGGGATGGCTGATACGCAGTCTTCTGAGGATCTTGTGAAATTATTAAAAACAAAAACCGATCTACTTCGACTTATAAACGAAGATACAAATGGGATAATAACAAAAGCTAAAATCAGCGAGTTAGAACGACAACGTAAAACATTGGACGACAAATTGCAAGAAGTGCATGATTTAAAGTTGCGTATTCAAGAGGCAAAACTGAGAGAAGGCGTTAAACCAGAAGAGGTTCGCGCATGGACAGACGAAACAAAAGCGAACGATATAGTACCTATCGAGGAGGCGATCTCTGAGTTAGAGACGGTAATTACAACTACGAAAGGAAAAGAACTGCGTCGAAAGGAGAACTTGGCCGCTCAAGTCAGAGACGAAGAGTACCAAGAGAAACTTAAATACGACAAAGAGACACTAGAGTTAAAACTATATTACGAGAAGAAAATAGTCGAAGAACAAGCGAAAAAGCCGAGCGAGAGCGGACCGAAAAAACCCAACGTGAGACTGCAAAAGCTGGAAATCACTAAGTTTGATGGCACATATAAAGATTGGTTGCGGTTTTGGAACCAGTTCGAAGCCGAGATCCAAGCAGCAGACATCCCAGCAGTGACCAAGTTTACATATCTCAAGGAATTGGTCGTGCCAAAGGTGAGAATTGCAATTCAAGGCCTACCCTTTACAATCGAGGGCTACGAGAGAGCAAGAAACATTCTCCAAACAAGGTATGGCAAATCTAGTGAAATAGTAAATAGTTATATTCAAACTATCATGTCATTGCCTAATATTCACGGCTGCCAGCCATCGAAAATACATGAATTTTACGAGACATTAATGTACAATGTACAGTCTTTGGAAACCCTAGGCAAAATAAGTGAAGTGAACGGTTATGTCAGGGCCACAATCGACAAGCTAGAGGGAATAAGAGGGGACCTTGTTCGTATGGACGATGACTGGCAGCAGTGGAAATTCCCACAACTAGTAGAGGCTTTGAGAAAATGGACGGAGCGCAACCCCATCAAAGCGGCGTCTAGCGAGAAGCATGTCACAAAACACCCGCAGTTTCCTTTCAAGCGAGAGAGGAATTTCAATACCAGGCAAGAAGACCGTGAAGTAAGAAATCCTAGAGCATGCGTATATTGTGACGGAACCGATCACAGATCTGTTGACTGTAAGAAATTTGAACGAACAGTCGATAGAAAAAAGTTACTTAGTACAAAGCAGCTATGTTTTAATTGCGCTCGACCCAATCACAAAGCATCGGAATGTAAATCACGCACGGCATGCCAAAAATGTAATCGACGCCATCACACAAGCATCTGTGATAATCGCGGCGATAACGAAAGTGACAACTCGAATGTTTTGTTGACAGCCTCAAGTGCGGGGAATGCAATGGTTACGTACCCTGTAGTTATTGTGAAAGTTCATGGCGTAACATGTCGCGCATTACTGGACACTGGGGCGGGAAGCTCTTACGCGTCATCAACCCTAATCGATTTAATCCATGCCAAACCAATTAGAAAGGAATTCAAGAGCATTGAAATGATGTTAGGATCAGTCAGCAAAGTAATTAGCGTTCATAATTTGTCCGTCAACAATCTCGAAGGAGACTTTAAATTAGATACTGAAGTCACAAAAGTGGACCGTAATGAGTTATTAACATTGAAAAATCCCCGGTACCGAGAAACTTTAGCTAAATTTCCACATTTAAACGGAGTAAAAATGCATGACAACGACGAGAAACCGGAACTTCCAGTGCACCTAATTCTGGGTGCAAGCGAGTACGCCCGAATTAAGACCGAGACCAAACCGAAGTTAGGACGTCCCAACGAACCTGTAGCCGAATTAACGAGATTTGGCTGGACAATCCTTTCCCCTGGCAAAGAAATCGACCTAACCAAAATGTTATCGACGCAAACTGCCTCTCCAGATTACGAGCAACTTTGTAGACTAGACGTGCTAGGGCTAAAAGACTCTGCAACCGGCGACCAAGAAATCGTGTACGAAGAGTTCAAGGAGCAGTTGACAAGAAATCCAGGGGGGTGGTACGAGACTAGCCTTCCTTGGAAAGGAAATCACCCTCCACTCCAGAATAACAAAGCAGGAAGCCTGACTCGTCTTTACAACTTAGTACGCAAACTAGAGAAACAAGATACTTTAGAACAGTATGACAAGATTATCAGAGACCAGCTGGAGCAAGGGATAGTAGAACGTGTGGAAAACGACGCCAAAGGCAAAGAATTTTACATCCCTCACAAGCCTGTCGTCCGCGAATCGGCCGAAACGACGAAGACACGAATAGTATACGATGCTTCAGCAAGCGCCAACCCTAAAGTACCGTCACTTAACGATTGCCTGGAGACTGGACCCCCCTTACAAAATCTTCTATGGAACGTGTTAGTTCGAAATCGATTTCATCCAGTCGCAGTAACGGGAGACCTGAAACAAGCCTTTCTGCAGGTACGAATTCGAGAGAACGAACGAGACGTCTTGCGTTTCCACTGGCTAAAAGATCTGCAAACTAAGGAGATAGAAGTTCTGAGATTCACTCGTGCCCTTTTTGGATTGGCTCCATCTCCATTCCTGCTTGCTGGCGTGATCAAGGAACATTTGCGAAGCCTAAAATCAAAATACCCCGACCTAGTAGCAGAAATCGAAAAAAGCTTATACGTTGACGACCTTATCGGCGGAGCAGATAACACAACCAAGGGTCTCGAGTTGAAGCAAACAGCCAAAGAAATCTTCAGCGAAGCTGGTTTCGAATTGCACAAATGGCATTCAAACGTGAAAGAGATCGAAGCAGAAAACACGACCGTTACGGAAGAAAATCAAACGTATGCCAAGCAACAACTTGGAGTGAAACAGGGGGAGACAAAGCTACTTGGACTCACTTGGGACAAAGTTCAAGATAACATTCAAGTGAGCATTCCCAACGATCCAGCAGCTTGCACCAAGAGAGGTATTCTAGGAAAGATGGCGAGAATCTACGATCCCCTTGGCCTAGTATCTCCATTAACCTTAACTGGAAAAACCCTTTACCGAGACGCCTGCGATCTTCGAATTGCCTGGGATGCACCCCTACCGAGTACACTGCAACAAAGATGGTTGAAGTATGAGCGAAACCTTCCGTGTCAAGTCACCGTACCGAGAAGTCTCGCTAAGCCAGAAGAGCCTATCAAGTTCATCGAGTTACATGCCTTTGGAGATGCAAGCGGGATAGGAGTCTCTGCAGCTGTATACGCGATAGTGCAACAACCATCCAGTGTTAGCAGTAGTCTTGTAACAGCGAAGTCGC